GAAATACATAAAGAAGTCTTTAAAAAGCGACAAAACACATGCTCACATTGAAGAAATGGAAAGATACTTCATACCAGGTTCTTGGATTACCATGGAAGCAACCACAGACTCAGACAATTGATGATATGCTTCGCTAAAGAGCCAAAAGAATGAGCTACTATCTGTGGGATTAACATCCAACATGTTAAGAAAGCTGAATCTCCCTAAACTGATTTGGAAATTTAGTTCATCCCACTAAAAATAATAAAGAGAATTTATTCATTTTTCTTCTGCAAATTCGAAAAACATACTAAAGTTCACATACAAATTGCAATAATCAGAGAAATTATGAAGAAGAGTACTAAAAGAAAATTATCCCTACCAGACAGTAAGGCCTATTTTAAAGCTACAGTAATTAAAACTGTGTTATACTAGATTATGAATCAACAGTTTATTGGAACAGCCTTAAAGGACCAGAAATAGACTAGCAGCAAATCAGTAAAGAAAAGGTAGGTTACACAATGTATGATGTGGTAATAAGCGGGCAATCATTTGAAAAAAAAATTAAGTTGAATCCCTAGTTCATATTTTATAGCAGAATAAATTCGAGGTAGATCAAAACTTTAAACGTGAAAAATAAAACATAAAATTACTAGAAGAGAATAAGGGGGATTTAAACAATCTCAAAGAGATAAGGTTTTCCATGTGACACAGAACACAGAAGCCATAACAAAAAATACTTATAATTCCACTTAGAAAAGCAAAAACAAAAACAAACAAACAAAACTACAAGCTCTCCTGAGCTTGGTGTCCAGTTTTTACTGAGGTTTTATCATACATGAGCATGATTGATTGAGTCAATCAAAGTTGAACTTAATCTCCACCCCTTTTCCCACCCCAGGTCAGGCTGATATCACTGTGACTGGAAGCCCTAATTCTCTAATTACACAGTTGGTCATTCTGGTGTGGCCAGTCCTCATCCTGAGTTATCTCACTTGCATAAACTATCAGGTTCCACCATGAATAACAAAGATACTTCTATCACTCTGGAAATTCCAAGAATTTAGATCCTGGGAAAAGGTAGGAAGGCTTGAAGGGAAGAGGACTGGAAAGAGAGAAAGAGGGCCAGGCAAATTTTTTATTCCAAGAGTTTGGAGACTACCTTTAATAGTGAGACTGGAAACCAACAATGTCCAGTAACAAAGAACTGATTAAAAAAAATTAAAATACATCTACATAATGGAGTTCTATGTAATCGATAAAAGAATGGGCAACTCTGTGGGTAGGGATACAAAATAAACTGCTGAATGTGCGAAACAATCTGTAGGATATGCTAGAATTTGTGTTTCATATATATATGTATGTTTATATATCCATAGAGCCATCTCTAAAAAAATAAACAAGAAACTAGTAACAGAGGTTGTATTCAGAGAAGAGAAATGAGTGGCTGGGAGAGGACCAGAGAAGGATTTAGTTTTTTACCCTCTTCAACCTCCTGATTTTTGCACAATGTACCTACCCGTTTAACAAGACTGAAACATTACAATGCATTGGCGCATTTCTCTGAGGATACTAAACATAATATATAATTTAATTTTTCAATTACAGTGACCATTATCATGAATTATATTAAACAATAAAGCTCTAAGAGTCTATTAAGGTGCAAAAAGCTGTTTTCATCCACAGTAAATGACCGCAGGTTGCTGAGTTGAGTGTCATTTTTAGTTTTTCTCTTCTCCAGCTGCTTTTAACTACTGTCAACTATCCTTCCTCTAGCTGACTCAAACTTTTTTCAAGTTCATGCTTTTAGCTGTGGTGGGCTAAGAAACCACACCAATGGTCTTAATACAGTACTATATAAAACAGAAGGAAACTGCCTCTTAGACAACTTGAGGAATCTTCTCATAATTGAGGAAATTTCAAGATTAGATTTTATAACAGTTACTTGACTACTCAAGATTTTTACACATTCTTAGTTCCACGTAAGTGAATAGAGAACAGGCAAGGCATTATTGAAGTCACAATGGGAGGTTCTATTATATAATAATGCTATAATGCTAATACATGTCTGGAAATCTTTTTCACTCATTTAAAAATATATTTGAGCATCTAGTGTACATCAGGGAATGTTCTAGGTGCTGGAGACACAGCAAAAAATAATACAGTGGCCAAACTCCCTTAGAATTTACATTCTAATTGAGGTTTTTGCGCAACTGGCAAAGATAAAGCAGTAAGTACTATAAAGAGAAAAGGGGATACAGAGCAATGAGGATGGGGGGGGCAGTATTAGATAGGATGGCACATTAGTGAGGCTCTGATTGGAAAGGAACTGAGTTATTAACACACACACACACAGCCATCTTTAATATATAAAATAAAGGATTTATTATAGGGATTATAGGAGGCTGTTCTTTTTGAGTCTGGCAGGTGAGAAGAGAAGATGGCTGTGGAGCAGGGGAAGTAAGGACACATTGGAAACTGCTAGGATGAGTAAAACCCATGGGACCGAGTGGGACTCCCACCAGTATCTCAGACTCTAAGCCTCCAATCTCAACAATGAAGTCATCCTGCAGAACCTGACACCCTTTGTTACAGGTAAAACACACACTTGGCCCAGGAGTCAGACGAGCTGAAGGAGGCAATACAGCAGGAGCTGGTGCTCCTGTGGGCCTGTCTGTTGGCTCACCGGCCAAGAAGATGAGCCAGCAGATAAGCAACGAGGTAAGTGAGCAGCGACAGTGGGCACCTTGCTTGGACCTTTCAATCATGAGAAGAATCTGGATCTAGCTACTTTACTTCCACATTCTAAATCTTGCAGCAAACATTTCTTGTGACCCGTCCTGGAATTATGCATGGAGAATTCTGAGGAACATACCTCCAGCTTATCTAAATGTGCACCATATAAATTCACCACAGATGGTTAGAGGTCTCTGAAAGGTATTTGAGCTGGGAACCTGAAGAATGAGGAGGAGTTAGCCATGCAACAAAGCCAAAATTTGGAAGAGAATATTTCAGGCAGAAGAGTTAGTACAAAGGCCCTGAAGCAGTGATAAAAATGAGGTATTTTCTGATGATGAGGTGGGGGCATGATGAGAGAGAAAGTGGTATGAAATGAGAGCAGAGATAGAGGCAGGGACCAGGTCATGTGGGGCCTTGTAGAACACGGTAACAAGTGTGGATCACTTTTCCCTAAGTGCAGTGGGAGGCAACTGGAGTTTTTTTAACAGGGCAGCAGCAGGTTTATCTGATTTACTTTTTTTTTACTCTACTATAATTTCAAACATAAAAATGGCACAAGATTAGCACAAAGAATTCTAGCATCCAGGTTTGCTTTGCAGAAAATGGACTTTAGTGATCAGGGCAATTTTTTCCACAACTCCTGAATAACACTCCTAGAGGACAAGGTGCACATGATGCCCTTGCAGCTGTGCAGAGAAGGATGTCCAATTGTGGAAGCAGCAATATTACTTAGAGAACTACTATAGGAGTGCAGGCTAGCATGCACTACACTAGTTTTCAGATCTCACAGGAAAACTAGACTCATTAATTAAGTCATAATTCACACAAATTCATGCTGAAACGAAAAATGGTATTACTCTTCAGATCTGGTCTCAAATTGATTGGCTATCACATCAATTCTCAAAAACAAAGTAAATAACCTCAAAGATACGACACCAATAAGCTATTTAAAGAGAACATTCCACAAGTAATTTCAAATTTTCAAAGACTTTCCAGAGATATGCACGGCCTCCTATAGGAAAACATGCCTAGGGGGCCAGTGTTCACAAGGATGTAGAAGTCCCGGTCCCATTATGGTAGAGCTGGCCTTAGACTTGCATATCTTCTATTTTCATCGAACTTCGCTTACTTACTTGAGATCATAAAAAATTTTTCTAAAGCAAACTCTTCTGCCTGGATTATCTCTCACTCCTAGAAAAGCTGTCTGGCTGAAAGCCAAGGTTCAAATATTGAAGTGTGCCGAGGTGCACGCTTACAGATATTCAAGCTC